GGGAAGTGGTTGAGTCACCATCCCTGGAGGTATTTAAAAGATGTGTAGATGTGGTGCTTAGGGTCATGGTTTACTGGTGGACTTGGCAGTGTTAGGTTAACAGTTGGACTCAATGATCTTAAAGGTCTTTTCCAGCCTAAACAATTCTATTCTATTCTGTATGTCCCACCCAGTGCCTTGCTCCCAGAAGGGCAGTGGGCAGTGGATGCAGCTGTGTAGGAGAAAGGAGAGGTAGTTTTCCTCCTTAGCCCTGCAGCTGAACCAGGTGCACACAGCCTCATGGGATCACCTGTCTCTTCCCCTGTCTTGAGATGTTGCTTTGAATTGTAATTTAGCCCCAGCTACTTTAGAAATCAGAACCCCGTAATGCAACAAATTCCCACTTGATGTCTGTACTGAGCCACTGAGTTGGTCGGATTGGCTCGTACCATCTTGATGCTCTGCAGCAGAGAGTTCCCCACTCTGGCAGTGGTACATGTAAAAGGACATGTTCTTTGCTGTGAACTGGCTGTTCTTTTATTTCTCCCCATCATTTCCCCCTTGTTCTTGCTCTGTTGGCTAACTGGGAAAGAATATGTGGCTCTGACTGAAATTTTTCCAACCACAATGGAAAATACTGTTGAGAATAAGCCAAAAAATGTTGTCCGGAAGCTTTTCCAAAAATTTGCTTGCTTTATTTTAAAGCCCTACCACAAAGTTTTCACCAGGCTGCTTCTAACTTTGAACATTAGAATAGGCTGGCTCTGGTTCTTCTTCCCTTTCCAAGTGAAGTGGCTCTGGTTCACTGCTCTCTAAGATTTTCCCAGCATCCTAATTCTTCTCTTCTCAGATTTGCTTTGACAGCAAACCCCGGATTATCAGCAAAGGGACCAAGGACACACCATCTGTCTGCTCCAACCTTTCTGCCAAACACAGTTTCCATGACAACAAGTGAGTGAACATTTTTGTGCTGATGGGAGCAATCTCTCACAAGTTCAGCCAGTTTAACTCCAGGGCCCTGGTCTCTTTCTTTCCTCCCCGTGGGTTGCAATCATAGGGCAGCGCAAAGCATGATAAATAGCACTGTGTGCTTCACCCTGTGTGTTTTGCTCCTGGTGCTGAGGGATTTCAGGCATCAGCAAAGCCCTTTGGAGTCAGCCTAAGTTTTCCATTGACTTAATTTGCCTTTCAGTTTGGCCTTTACATAAAGGTCAAACCACAGATCCTCTAGCTCAGGATCCTGCCTCTGACTGGCTAGTAATGAATGTTTAGGAAAACAAGTATAAGAAACATGTAAAGTGCATAATAACACATCCCCTTCTGGTTCCTGGCAACCTGAGACTTAGGGACTTGCTGAGCCAGAGGAGTTGGTATCTTTGCTGCATATTTTGAAATGTGTCTGATCTCTGAACTTAAGCAGAGCATCGCCCATGGGCTGAGGAGATTGAAAATACCTACCTAGGATTGATAGGGTGGGAGGGCAGGGGTTTGGTTTTCCCAGTGGGAGTCTGCCTCTCCCAGAGTTGATTTTCTGTGTCCTTTGCGTGCCCAGTCAAATATCTGAACGTCAAATGTAAGTAGGAGGGGGTGAGGATTTGATCCTCTGGTGCTTCATATTTCTCTGGCCTGGCTGCAGGTGTCTGGTCCACATCGTGCGTTCCACCTCCCTGAAATACTCCAAGATCCGCCAGTTCCAGGAGCACTTCCAGTTCGACGTGTGTCGACATGAGGTGCGTTATGGCTGCCTGCGTGAGGACAGCTGCCACTTCGCTCATAGTTTCATCGAGCTCAAGGTCTGGCTGCTGCAGCAATATTCAGGTGAGTGTGATGTGGTGCAGGGCTGGTGATGTGTACAAATTTCCTCCAGTGTGTCCCTGGGGCCAGTTGAGAGGGGAGGAGGGTGATTTGGGAGTACGGAGAAGTTGTCACTGGCTTGTGCATATACTTACTCTGTCTCCTCAGGGACACAGAAAAGAGAGCCAAGGTGTCTGTGAGATGATTTGGCCCTTGTCCCTTTACACATGCTACTGTAATTTGCAGACCAGGAAGCCTTTCCCTTGGGACCAGCTGCATAAGTTGAAATGATTATGCACCTCTGATCCCCAGAGGTGTTTTGGTGCTTAAATCCTGTGCAAGACCCTAAATAGCAATTGGGCCCCTGAGTGAGCATCTGGTGCAGTGGGAATGGCAGCACGCTGAGGTGACAAAGCAGTTATATAAAGGAAGGCTGTGCATCTCCAGTTTCTCTAAACAAATTCACCAACAGTGGGAAATTACAAGATACTTGGTGTTTCCCAAAAAGGCTTTGATGACATACCTCTGAAGAGGCTATTGCAGAAATTATATTCAGGTCACTCATATAATGACACTGCCACATCTGGCACTTTCAGTCCTCTCTCTCTCTCTCTCTCTGACACATTGGAGGGTTTCTCTTGCTGCTCTCCTGTTAACTGAGCAGATGCTGATCCACCCACAATGCTACCTACATCTTTTTTCACCACAGGGTCTTGTTTAGTGCACGACCCAGCCTGGTAATGGGAGTGCTTCAGAGGGGAAACACTTTATGGATGTTTCTCACCATTCTTTAATGTAATGGGGGGCAACTTCTTTAATTTATCGTTCAAGCGCCTGTCACTGTTGTTCAGTGCAGTCCTTGGCCTTGGCTTGGCTCATGAGGGACAGTGCACTGTGGCAAATGCCAACTTTTATTCTTCCCGTTTGGCCTCACTTACTCGTGGCCACAGGAAATTAAAAAATTACACCACCAGAGTTCCTAAGACAGCATGTTGCCTGTGAGCCGTAGGCCACCATTGCTGCCCTACATGCTTATGATACTGCCCGTAGTACTCTGAGCACTCTGATATTCAAGGACCTTGCTCTTTCCCCACCCCGTGGTTGCTTTATTTTTGTTGGTGGTTTTCTTTTTAGAAAAAGTTCCTTTGCTCGCTCCTTCCCTCCCTCCCTATTCCTTCCTCTTCAGCCTGTAGAAGAAATGGTTAGATTGGTTTTTGCTTTTTGCCTTCTTTACCTGAAGAAGTGATTTCCAAAGGGGAAGCTGAGGAGATGAAACAAGCCATGAGTTTAGCTGCAAAGGTGGCCAGTAAGCCTTGTGCTTATTCCCATCTTTTCCAACAATGGGACAGCCATCATCTTTTTGATTTTTTTCTAAAGGGCTGTTATATATGAGCCTGCTTTCCTTGTGAATTTGCCTTCCTGGAGTGGTAGTTTATTACCTCTCTTCAGTGTAGCCCTCATTATAGAAACAGAGATGAAAGGTAGTTGTCACCATTCTCTGGGAATGCTTTAGCTTTGGAGCAGAGAGTTTGATTTGGGCACCATTTGCTTAGCAAGAATAGGAAGGGAGCATCATTCATAGCAGCTTGCATTTGAAACCAGTGGGCTGTGCATTTCACAGCCATTTGAGCTTTTACAGAGCTTGTGGCTTTGTTCTTGGGGATAAAGGATTGTATTAGTGGACTAAAGGTTCCCAAGATCTGAAAATGTGGACAGGCAGGACTGTTTTCTTGTTCACTGTGGCTTTTCACAGACATATCTTGCTATCTTCTTTCATCAGTGGAAATCACAGTCTCTGTCCTCACTAATGATGTTGCAAAAGATGCTGAAATGTTAAAAGTAATCAACACATGGGCCTTTTGGTTCCCAGATCATCTCTTTGGGACAGTTCATGCTTTGGAGAGCTGGTGTATTGGAAAACATCCTTTCATATTTGGGAGGGGTTTTTTTCCCCACCACTACATTTCTAGACCATATTGTTGAGTCAGTTCATACTTCTGGGACTGGAAGAAGGCAGTCACTTGCTAAGAACTTCATTTGAAATTCAGTCTTCTGACAAGAGCTGTATATGCTTCTCCCGTTGGTTCTGCACCTGGAGGATCACAGTGCAGGTGTGCAGAATGGAGAAGATGGGAGCTGCTTCGGCCCTTTCTCTGCCAGGTCCAGTGCAGCACGTTAACTTTTTGCTGTGGTTTTCCCAGCTTTATAGTTTTTGTCCCCAAAGTACAGATCAGCATTGTCCAGCCCTGGATTACTTGGACATGGAAGAGGGAGTTACAGTTTTTCTAACTCTACACAGTTTCTTCTGGGATTAATGGTTAAGACAGAGAAAATCCACAAACAGCTTTGACCTGGGATGCCAGCTATGCAGCAGCTGCCATTTTGGAGGCCTGAGCAAATGTTCTTGAAGAATAGTAAAGTTCCCTGAATGCTTTTCATCCTGTCCAAGCCCTGTACAAACAGCAGTATTGTTGCCTGGCAGGGACCTGGACAGCTGGAATCACAGATGGGGAAACTGAGGTCAGGAATGCTGTGACTTACACACAATTACACACAGCCTAAGCTGAGATGAAAACTTGTGTTTGCTGGCCTTTAAGTTCCGGAACATGCTGGCTCCCAGATCAAAGATTGTGTCCATGTGGCATGCCTGGGGAACACCTCACTTTTATTATTAAATTTGTAGGCAAAAGCAAAGCAAGCAATTTTGCAACCTCTCTGTGCTGGGGGTGCTGCATCAAGGCCATCCTCAGCACCCCACTTGTTGCAGTCAGCTGGCCATTGTAAGATACTTGCTTCAGTTTGTTTTGGCAGCTATCTCGGGTCTTTATAGCACTTAAACAACATGGCTTTTTTGTAACGGAGTCCTCACATTGACCAGGCAGTTGTTACTCTTACATACTTTTCTCTTGCTGATTAGTGCTCTGAGAATCGTAGTGACCATCTAGCTGGTTGGTGCTGGCAGGAGCTGTTCCCTCACCACTTGAGTTGGTCAGGAGCTAATTCCTTAGATAAGGTCTGACCAACCCTTTCTCTTGTCTGATGTTGCATTTCTGATTCCTGAAACCTTGCAGATCTTTACTTGCTGGTTACATACTAGCAGCTGTTCCTTGGTTGGTTTTGCACTGTTGGTCTTTCCTTGCTACCTTGCTTGCACTTGGTGTTTGTCTGTGTTGAATTTCAACTTTCCTCTTCGCCTATTGATTGATGGGCAGCCCCCACAACTTGAAGTGTGTAACTGGCTAATTAATCCCAGCAGGGATTAGGTGAGACTTCTAGGGTGCTGGAGATACTAGATGTCTCAGTGGGATATCTGTGATCTTCCAAGCTAGTGGCAAACACTCCAATATACAGTAGATCAACAGTAACAAAGCATTGTCTTCAGGGCCTTGGGTAGAATCTGTGCATATGGTGTTGGGGGACAGCCTTGGTCAAGGTCTTGACCCCTAGTCAAGAATCATCATCTTGGAGGCAGCCTGAGCAGAACGCCAGGTCTAAATGAGCCCATGAGACCAAACTCTTCCCCTTTCATTTGGCTTGTGTGGAGAGAGGAGCTTCCTTAGCCTGTGCTTAAACACGTTCTACGTTGGGTCCCCTCACAACCCATGACCTGACATTACCAGTGGGACTGTTGGGAGCTGTCAGCCACACAGGGGTTCCTAAGCCCCAACGTAGGAATTCCTGCAACCTCTCCCTCCCTCTCTTCTCTTAGCCAAAGCAGGGTAGCTCAGTCCTGTCTCCTTTTGTTCCCAGGAATGACCCATGAAGATATTGTGCAGGAATCGAAGAAGTACTGGCAGCAGTTGGAGGCACATGCCAGCAAACCAGCCAACAGCATGGTAAGTAAGGTGCATCTAGGGCTTGCAGCCTGGTTTTGCTCCCAACTGTGCCAGCACTTTCTCTCTTTTCCTCCCACTGCTGTGTCTGACAGGTCCCAGGCAAACCAGGCTGGCCATTGAGGAGGACAGCAGAGAGCTTTCCTGGTTGCAGTGCTAGTGATGACCTTTGTCCCTTGTTTTGCAGTGTTGTTATCTGCTCTGTTCAGTGGTGGGGTGAAGCCTCCAGAGCAGGGAGGGCAACGCTGCCCTCCCCCAAGAGAATGGTGCTTCCTGTGACACCTTGCTAGTGAAATCGAGAGACTTTGGGGACCATGGCCACACAGAGTGGGGACCAAAGGTGTCCTGCTGCCCTGTAGTGGCCAAGGGACGATACGGCAGTTCGAAGGACTCTGAGAAATGACTCATGACCCACAGGACTGCTCTAAATTCAGGAGTGGGTGGAACTTGCAGCTCAGGTGCTGTTGAGGCTGGGCAGAGACCTTAGTGGAGCTTTGCCAGGAGGAGGCTGTGAGCTTTGCCTCTCTTTGTGCCACCAGTCTCTCAGTGTGGGAGAAGGTGCCTCTGGCTGCACCCTCCAGCACTGCCAAGAGCTTTCTCTGGAGAGGTGTGTTAAAAGCAAAGGGCACCTCTTTATTTGCTTTCTTCCAACCTGTTGGCTATGGGTGGTGCTGTCTTATCCTTTCTTTTCCCCAATGGGGTGTTCTGCAGTGTAGGAGCAGAGCCCACCCAATGAGGACGATTCCCAGCCCTGAAGTTGAACTAAAGCAGTTTTGCCATTAGAACAGGGAATTTTTTGTTCTTTAATTACTTTCAGAAGATATGTCTGATGAGATGAGAAACTTCGTGCCTCCTAGGAAGCTCTCAGGCGTAGGAGCAATTCTCTCCCCTGCAAAATGGTGGGGAAAGTGTTGGGAATCCTTTTTGTTCCCACTTGACAGCTTGCTTTCTTCTTGTGGAGGCCTGAGCTCGCCACCCCTTGGCCTGTGCCTTACTGTCAGAGCAAAGGTGCTTCAGCATTGTCTGGGACCTCTCACCCAGGAGTCCCTCTGCAGAGACCAGCACTGAGTGCAGCCTGTGAGCACCCTGCGGAGGAGGTGTTTTATAGGAAACGGATCCGAGTCACTCACGTGGTGTGTAGCAGCTTTTTTTGGCTACGTTACAGGCCAGCAGAAGTGTTCTGAAGGCTGTAGGGCACTGATGCTGGGGAAAAGTAGGTCTGATGGGCATGGCTTAGCCCAACAAGAAAGATGCAGGTGACTGCACTGGTGCTTGCAGTGGGCTCTGTGTCCACCTATGTACTGGTTATGCTGCATGAGATGGAGTCATTGTTGAGGAGGTGCTTGGCAGCATACCTGTGCGGCCTGTTCTGCTGTTGTGGTCTGAAATGGTTGGGGGAGAGGAATGAGAAGCAGCAGTCTAGAGTAACCAAGGTCTCTAGTTCCTAAAGCCATCTGACTTGCTTAAGGAATATGTTCTAGCCCCTCAGGAAGCTGAGAGGACAAGTTTCTACAGCCTGTATTACATGAGAAGTGAGCCTGAATGGTCTGAATGGTCCCTGCAAACAAAGCTGGCTATGATCTCTTTCTGCGTGGTGTGGGGACAGAGGCAGCTGGCTGCATCTCCACAGTGGAGGAAACCAAGTGTGAATTTGCAGCAGTTGGTGACAGTAGTTGGATTTATATCAGGAATCCCTGCCCCATGGAATCTAGTGACTGGTTCTGTCCTGCCTGCTGTGAATCTGCCTGCATTTTTCAGAAAGCTCTGTCTTGCCGTTCTCTGTGCATAATTTGGGGATAAAAAAAAGATAGATGGACATCTGTTTTCCTGTAAACCTTGCAGCTTCAAATTCGCCTTTGTCTGGAAGTGCTGCTGTTGGAAGAACAAGTTGTTCAGCGGGCATGGTCAGAGCATGTCCTCTGAAGCATGTGGGATCTGGATGCTGAGCGAGGGTTTCGTTTGTGGCTGTTGGGGCTTGCAGGGGGCAGAGGATCAGGAAGAGAAACACCAGCGTCTGCAACATCAGCTGTCAGGGGATGGGCAGAGAGCTACAGTTTGTGGGCCCTGTGGGCAGTGTTAGGGCTGATAGCCAATGGCAAAGTCTGGCTGTGCCCCACAAATGTCTGTTGCAGAGCTGGAGCGCACCCTCCACCCTTCCAGGGCATCACTTTGTGCGGAGACGAAGCAACAGCCTTCTTGGTGCAGTCAGAAAGTGCCTACCAGCGGCACCATCAGTTGTCTGTAGGGATTGGCAGCCTGGCACTGGCACTGTGCAGGGAGACAGAGTCAAGTCGGTTAGATGCATGTGTTTGCAATAGCAAACTGGTTTTGGCATCAGCACGTACTCAGCCAGAGGGCTGTGGTCCGGGATGAGACACTGGCTCACTGCCGAAGACCCTGGGGGCAGGACTAACGTATCCGTTGAGAGATGTTTACTTTTGCCATTATTTTCTCCCGTCCAAGCAGGCTAACGTGACTCAGAGTTTTCTCAGCGTCCTTCCAGCTTTTGAAGTTGGCTGCCTGGCAAAGACAACTTCCCAGGAGTGCTGTAAAAGCAGAGCCCTCCCTCCCACCATCCCGTATGATCCACGCTCACCCTGGCGCCCTCTGATCAGCGGAAGCAAAGTCGCTCCCAGGGATTTTGCTGCAGTTTTGTCACAGCTGCCAGTTGGACTCAGTTAGTGGCTGGGGCTATCCAGTTGTGGAGAAAAGAGGCAGGCAGCATACAGGGACCCAGCAGCTGTGATGATGCAGGTCAGGAGACTTAGCAACAAGTGGAAGATGAAGATACACCACTTGCTAAACATCTGCCAGGGATCTTGCACTTGGCCCCACAAATTTAGCCCCACGTAGGCTGCTGTAGGAGTAAACCCAGTGGCTGCAGATGGAAAAGGCAGTCAGCAGGAGGGACTGTTGGAAGTAGCTGGGTGTCCTCGATTCCCATCATATCCCTGGGAATTGAGAGGTTTTAGCCCTCCGTTTTTCTGGTTTTTGGGGGCTATTCTGTTTTACCTCACTAGCCAGCTGCAGGACCCCCATAAAAACTGGCCTCAGAATTAGCAATTTAAGCATGGAGAGGAAAGGAAAGTCTCTAATAAGGGGTACTTGCACCTAAATACAGCTCACTTGGTTAGGTGGCTGAGTAACCTGGGCTCCTCATATAGTCCCCCAAGGCACGTGGCTCCTCCAGAGAGCATTTCAGTATCGCTGAGAGGGGTTCCTGAAGTTGTGAGACGCGAGTGGCCGTGCTGGGACTGTTGCTTTCTGCAAAGCCTGAAGTGGAGAGCTGTTGTCCCAAAGACTTTTATTTGTTTGGTTGCCATGGTGCATAGCTAACACTATATTGTCTGGCTTCATAGCAAGGGGTGGTGCCACAGCCCGAGGCACTTTTGCCTGGCTTCGTCTGCTAAAGCCTCATGTGATTCTAATTTCCACACTGTTGGTTGTCAGCAGCCTGCCAGGTATGTGTCTTGCCTTTACAAATACAGTCATGTAGCAGCAACAACAGCAGCTTTGATTTTTCGCTTGGCTCCTAATCCCCTGGGAGCATACATGCCCACTGGATTGACCAGCAGTTTGCATGACTGATGAAAAAACGCACAGGGCTTCTTTTGGTTAAGAATTTGTGGAAAAAGCAGCCCAGATCACCAGAATTAGCTGAGAAACATTTTCTTTATCTCTGATCTGTTGTGCCTTCTGGAGCCACTTGATTTTTCGTTTTGCTGGGTCAGTAGATTTGAGTCAAGCTTCCCGGCTGTGCTGAGAGATCTGTCACCTGGAGGATTATATGGCAGATAGCATTGGGCTGATAAAAGGGAATATGCCAGCAGTGCCATTTTGTTACCTTAGGCCTATAGGTTTGGTGGGTCAGTGGCGAGCTGTAGTGTAATTTTCTTTGGAGACGAGTGGAGATTAAAACTACTGTTCAAAGGCCACACTGAGAGGGAGGCACCTTACTGCCTTCTGTCATAACCCAGGTCTCAACCCTGCTCATCCCGCAGCCGGACACTTTGATGTGTGCTTGGTGGTCACCAGCACTGGTGAAAGCTGACAGAGGAATGAGTCACGTGCCGGATGCCACCAGAAAGGCTGTCCTGCAGGCGAGTAGGCCAGAATTGCTGCTGCTTTTCAAGAGAGATGATGGTTCTCTGGAAGGGTCTTTTTGCTGAGACATCCAGAGCAGTAATGGCGCCCTGTAGTCAGCACAGGCAAAGGTCAGATCTCCGGTCAGCTTTTCACAGCAATGGAGGACCCTTTGTATGTCAGCTCTGCTTCTCTGAAAGACTGGGTCTGGAGGATGCAGAGTGGTAGTCGATAGCTTATGTGGTGTTTCCTGGGAGATGCTTTGATTCTGCACCACCTGTGCTTGCTGTTTTCCTTTTGCCAAGGGATGCACATAGGGTCCACGCTACTGCTAATCAATTGCTGGCAGAAGCCTGCTCCTCGGGGACATGGTTTGGCTGTCTGCTCATTATTAGCTGCTCGGGGTTAGAAGTCGAGGTGTGGCAGCTGGGATGGGCTGCTTATGTGGTTAGCAGTCAGAGAGCTGTTTTACTGGTACATAACCTTTGTGCTTCACGGTGGCTCGATGACCAGCGTGTTCTTTTAGGTTCTTGCTTGTACCCTCACATACTCCTGTGACCAGGGCCACTGGCATCCAGTCAAGTTTGCTCTTTGGTTTGGAAATGAACTGGAGACACCAGCCTCATGTCTTCCAGTGGTGGTACAAAATGTAAACGGCTTTCCAGAGGTTTGTTCAGAAAACGCGAGGCAGCAGTGATATGGGACTGGCTTCGTTTTTTTCCCCTCCACAATCTGTTGGTCATAATCCCAAAAGAGCCTTCTCAAGGAGATAGGTAGAAGGCCAATGAAGTTAAGTGGCTGAGAAGATATGAAATATGTGCATTGACAGTTGTACCTCTGTCCAGAGATCATGATTAACTGCCTGTGAGGCCTGGTGCAAAGGAACTGAGGCATGGAAACCTGCCCAGAAATGGCTTTGAAGAGTATTAACGAGAGGACCCAGCTCTGACTTCAATGTGTCAAATGCTAGACATGACATGAGCCTCTTGGTCCAAAAGTGGGAGTGGTGGGTCCTGCGCTGTGGCACAGCCTGGCCTCCTCCCAAGGGAGCTCTCTCGGCTGTGCGACAGATATCTCTGCATGGGTAGCGAGGGGGACGTGGATTGCCCTCCCTGCGGGGAAGCAGGGATTAAGTGCTGGGGCAGGTCTCACAGGGCTTGTCTGTACATGCAGATACGCTGCAGGGGTTTCACTGACCAGCAAGGCCTGGTCAGTGCTTGAAGCTGTCAGGCTGGCTGTGCTTTTGGCCAGACGTCAAAGCCCAGGAAATCATGCTGAAGCAAGTGGTGGTTTTGCTCCTGTCTGGTATCTCGACAGGTCACCAGCTAACACGGGCAAAGGAGAGCTGGGCTGTCTCTGATTTAATCTGGCTTGTCGCGGGCACACGGGCGTGCGGGGAGCTGCCAGCATCTCTGTGACAGTTTGGGGGGTGCATTTTGGCTCTGTTTGCCTGAGGTTGTGGTTCTCTTCCCCAGGCTTCTCCCCGGGCTCCCACATCAAGCACCTTTGACCTCCAGATGAAATTTGTGTGTGGCCAGTGCTGGAGGAATGGGCAGCTGGTGGAGCCAGATAAAGACCTCAAGTACTGTAGTGCCAAAGCCCGCCACTGGTGAGCAATGCAACCTTCTCTTTCCCCCACCCCTACTCAAGGGCAGGAATTTCGCCTCTTACCTTCTCCAGGGCTTCATTTGGCCTCTCGCTGCTCAGGGTGTTCGTCACTGTAGCAAGCATTGCAGATAGCTGTTTTCCAGTTTCCAGCTCTCTTCTTTACTGTTTGTATTTGCTGCCAGCATTGTGCAGACTGTTACTCTTGGTGCGTGCAGTCCAGCTCCCACAATTCCTTTTTTTCCCAGTTGCTATCATTTCTTCTTAGCGAGGTCACTAAGATAGTTCTCCTCTGCACTTGTTTATACTCCTAGCTGTTTGCAGTTGTCTGTCAGGTCACTATTAGCAATGATTCCAGGTATTCTGTTTCCTTTTAAATTAGTTTCCTTGGCTCTTTCATTGCTTTGGTTGCTCTTCTCTGACGCCCGTCTTGTCTGCACCTCTTGGCTCCTTGGGGCCTGTGAGGATGTTCAGTGTGATAGAAGAGGAATATCAGCTTGGAAGGCACCACTGGATCATGGAAACTGTGGCACCTCTCACTCAGGCAGCCGGGCAGGATAGGGTGGAAGGGTTTATAGGACTTCATTTCCCATAACACAAGCCACAAAAGCACAGTCCAGCATCCTATTGCAAATGTAAGACCTTTGATGAAAAAGAGACAGAAGCAGCAGTTGCTGGAGGAAGTGTGCAGGTGAGGATCACTTCCTGGAACAGGAAGGGTAATGCCTCTTTCTGCAGCTGCTGAATAGAGCTGGGGATTTTGCCCAGGGTATCTCCTGGTGATCGTTTGCTGGAGCTGCAGGAGAATTAATACTTCCTGGCACCTGTTCATAAGACAGTGCTTGTAATGACTTGCATTTCTACTGCACCTTTCAAACAGAAAATATTCCCAAATGTTTTTCATGGATCTGATTGCACAAGAATTGGCTGTGTCAAAGGGTGGAATGCAGCTGTTTAGTAATCCATGGTGATGCCATGTGAGACTTGGGGGAGACTTTTGTGGCTTTATGAGAAGAGATACCCCAGGAAATATGTGATAAGTACAGGGAGAAATCCTCCTTCTTGTGGCTTCTGTGTCACAGATGTGCATGTCTAGGAGCAGCCAGATAGTGGCAGGGACAAACTGGACTGGAGGATCTGGTTATCTCTCAATATTTAAGAGTCTCTGAGGAAAACAAAACCTTGTTCTGCTCTTCCTTTTGCCTCTCTTGATTTATTCTCTTTTCTTCAGTTGGACGAAGGAACGTCGTGTCCTGCTGGTGATGTCCAAAGCAAAGAAGAAGTGGGTGTCTGTCCGACCACTGCCTTCCATCCGCAACTTCCCACAGCAATATGATGTAAGCCCCGTGCCCGGCACAACCAGGTGCCCCTTCCCCTTCCCTCCAGCATGGTGTAGCGCTTTGAAGGCTGGTCCCTTGTAGACCTGGCAGGGAAGCAGGCGCATGTTGGCTGAGGTGGGAGACCGGGACAGACTGAGGGCAGCAAGATCTCAAATGCATCCAGCGAAAGGGTGGAGCAGAAGAAGGAGCAGCACCCGTTTAAACAACTCTGCGCACATATGCGAGTTTCTGGCGTTGCTGTTAATGCAGTCATCATCTCAAGAAGTGGCTGGCACAGTGTTTGGAAATGAGATTTAAGTCTCCCCTTAGGTCAGGGTTTCTCAATGTGGGTAAGAGGCGAGACGGAGTGCTTGGGAGAAGCCCATCCCTGCCTTTGGTGTGGCTGTGCTGCCGTAGATTGTGAAACTTGCTCACGATGTGTTTTGAAAGCAAAACTAAGAACTCAGCTAAAAAGACACGTGTTGTGAGGAAAACTACAGATATCTGACCTCCAAGCCCAGCCCCAAATATGGCAACTGATAATTTCTCTCTCCCTCTCCTTTCCTTTCTCCCTGAAAGGAGAAAGCTCCTCTCCCTCCTACCCTATGGGATCTGCTGTCCCTTAGTCCATGGGCAGGTGCAAGGCCATGTGTAAGGCCTTGAGCAGTTGCAGGCCAGTTGCTAGAAGCTGGGGAACAGAGCAAGAGTTATTTACAGCTGCTGCAGTAGGAGATGAGGCCAGCACATAAGTCGCAGATCATGCAGCAAAGGCAAGTTGCCATATGAGTGTGTGCTTTGCCTGAGCTTCCACCCAGCCCCCACCAGAGCAAGGAACAGCGTTGTCTCTTCCCCCCAGTTTGTATGGGCCAGCTGGTCTCCACGCTCTGTCCTCCTCTGGTGGCAGGACGGGGGGAGAAGGGACAATCAGTAAATATGATGCTTGGAAAGCTTCTCGTTTCCTCTGGCAATGATGCTGTTGCTAGCTGTGAGGTAAAGTTGTGCGCACTAGTGCGGTCTAGGCAACCCATAAGGCCATTCTTCACCCACTTGGAGATGGCTGGAGAATGAGTCACCTTTGGATGTCTCAGCGATGTGACCAGCAGGAGACACTGTTGGGTCAATCCAGGTTGCTCCCTGCTGGTCTCCCCCAGGGCCAGCGCTAAGCGTACCTGCGCCCGGTCACCTATGGAAATGGCAACAAGGGAGGCCAGGTGCTGAACTGAGCTGCCTGCATGTTTATAGAGAAGTCTTTACCTTTCATGTCATCAGGAGCTTGAGAAAGAGAAGCATGAGTTGATTACGTATGAAGCATTCTGTTTGCGACCTCTTCTGCGTGCAATTTAATGTCCTAGCTGGTTTTTTGAACCCACTTTCCCCTCTAGCAAAGAGTGTTTGTGCAGATGCTAAATTTTGCTCTGTCTTTTAACAGTTGTGTATCCATGCACAAAATGGCAGGAAATGCCAGTATGTGGGCAACTGCTCCTTCGCCCACAGCCCTGAGGAGAGAGACATGTGGACCTTCATGAAGGAAAATAAAAGTGAGTGGGGGAAACATGGGCCAGAGAGTTTGGGGAGAGGGAAGAGGACATTTGGGCAGTGGATGCAGAGTCTGTTGTTAAGGCATACTCTTGACAACAGAGACGGAGCTGGACAGAGCTGGTACCATGAGCTTAGGTGGGATTATGGGACAGGTCTGTCTACAGTAATTTAGAGCTGCTCTTTTCTTAAACGTGCGTGTATATCTTGAGTCCCTCGTTCTGGGACTAGTGCACATTGGTCCCATGTCTTGCATTGCTCCATTGCTGCCCTCCCTTTCTGCAGTTCTTTGAATCCACCCTCTGCTGTCCCTCCAGTTGCCTGTACCGTCCCAGGCCTGGCTCCGTGTGGAGCTCTGCCAAAGCACCAGTCCCGACCTGTAGCTGCTCCTATATCTTTCTTGTCTGTCTTGTATCTGCCTTGGCTTTCTTGCCCATTTCTGTTCATATCCCTTGCTCTTGGGCTGCGGCACTCCCTGCTCATGGCATTGTATTCAAAGGGGTGGATTTGAGATCCTGAATGAGAACATTGTTGGGTGGTGCCTTTGTGGAGGAGCTTGTCTGGAATTAATTTTGCAGGCTCCCAACTTAGCTTTTGGGGGGATAGCTGGGGGGTTGCCCATTCCTGGACAGCCAGCTCTCTGGCAGCAATCCTTTTTTATTCAGACCAACAGCAAGCTGGGAAAAAAGACTCTCTTTGCAAGAACCAGTTGTCCAGGTGTTCACCTAGCTGTGGTGAGATGGCTCCAGCTCTCTTGGGAGATGCTGGAAGGCTTGAAGGGTTTCAGGCCTGCCCTCAGTTTGTTCGGTCTTTATGCTTGGATGGAGGGTCTTTCTCTCTGCTGGGCCAAACGCGCTGTTACTTGTTACAGTTCAAGTCATTTCGTTGCTGAGGCCTTTAAAGCACATCAGACCAGTCTGGGTGTGTTTGCTCAAGCACAAAGGTGAATCTTCAAAAGACAGCGTTGTTTCAGTTTGGGGGAATGTGCATTCATTATCCCCAATTGCCTTGAGTTCCTCAATTACCCGTTTAGTGAGGAGTAAATCACTAACGCATCGCACTTACAGCATCACATCGGTGTCTGCAAATATTTATGTTTCCATAGCCTCTCTCAGGAGCTGATCTTGGAAAGGCAGGTGTGCCGTCAAAGCTTACAGCCAAAATTTCCCCTCCCACTAGTATCCCGAGTGGGTTTTAAACCAAAAGCACCAAGAGACTTCGACTGTACTCCTCTGGGCAGGTTTTGAACTTGGGACAAGTTATTATTAGGTCTTCCTCCCCTCCCCAGTGCTTCCTGTGGCCAGCTTGCTTAAGGGCTCTCCTCCCTCTCGAGTGCTGAGGACGAAGCATAGTCTTAGAGGGAGGGGACAGATCCAAATCCAGCCCCTGCCTTTGCTGTGGCTGGAGTGAGATGTCTGCTGAGGTCAGGCAGAATCAGGCCTGATGGAGAATCACCTCGTGGGGTGAAGTCCATGGAGATCTTGGGGCCCCTTCCCTTCTTCCTGAATACTTTGTGTAGCTGCTGTCACAGTTGCCCCTCGACTCATAGAAGACACCTCCCCACGCCAGGTGGTGTGGTGTGAATTTGGTTCTTCTCCCCAGGCCTTTCATCTGAGGAGGTGACATCAGGCCTCCTGAGCTCAGGCCTTCAGTCTGATGGCAGCTGCTGCTGTGTGGGAGAGGGTAGGGAGGGGCTGCCCCAGCATTCATCTTTTTCTCATAGTTTGTGCACGGTGCGGGAGGTTGTCTGGGTGGTTTCACGGGTCGCCTTTGTGCAGTACTAGATATGCAGCAGACCTATGACATGTGGCTAAAGAAACACAATCCTGGGAAGCCTGGAGAGGGGACACCACTCACCTCGCGAGAAGGGGAGAAACAGATCCAGATGCCCACCGACTACGCTGACATCATGGTAATCAGCTGATCTCTTGTCCTTCATCCCTCCTCCTCCTCAGTGCTGATAGCCTGCCCTCTCCTGTGCTCCAGGTGTGAGCTAGCAGGGACTGCATTGCTCTTGTGGGAAAGAGCCCGTGCCGTAGGTTAAACGGACAGCTTGGAGCAGCACAGCAAGGGCAGCACAGATAAGGCAGGAAGGGATTGACCCGGGGTCAGCAAGGGTCTGCAATGGCTTTTCTGTTAATCCTCGAGTCAGTAGGATCTACCTTAGGTTCCCTTCTGTATGGGCTCAGCCTTTCACCGGGGTTCCTGCGTGCTCCTGGGAAAGCTGTCAAAGCCATTGCTGGCCTGTTGGAAAAGAGGGAGAAGGTTGGAGAAGAGCTGGGTCTGGAGCGCAGAGGCCTGGGAAAACTAGAGGCAGATATGTCTCCTTAGCCCAGGGGTGGTGGCTGGTGTAAAGGTTTGTGCTCCTGAGGAGTCCTGCATTGCCTGGGCACCTGGGGCCTTGCAGTCAGACCCATCATCAGGGGCAGGGGAACTATGTCAGTGAACTGAGCTGTCCTGTTCTCTGAGCCCTTTTGAGCTGTAAGGAGACCTCAACAAAGCATCTCTTCTGCTCACCCTTAGTGGCAGCAGGATGCCTTGAAGATGACATGGCAGAGAAGTGTGGGAGGTTGTAGACAGAGCAGAGCTTCCAGGATGCTCTGGAAGGAGAGGGGGAGAGACAGTGCCAGCATGGGGAAGGCCAATGGGTGTGACTGTTAACGCACTGACTGGCCCTTTGCCCTGTCTACACCGGTTAGATGGGCTACCACTGCTGGCTCTGCGGGAAGAACAGCAACAGCAAGAAGCAATGGCAGCAGCACATCCAGTCGGAGAAGCACAAGGAGAAGGTCTTCACCTCGGACAGTGACTCCAGCTGCTGGAGCTACCGCTTCCCCATGGGCGAGTTCCGGCTCTGTGAAAGGTACTGTTGCCTCATCTCCCTCCTGTGCTGCTGCTGCAGGGACGGGGCGGCAGGCCCAGGGCCTCCATCATCCCTCCTCCTCCTCCTTCACCACCACCACCTCCTCCTCCTCTCATGGAGTCCGCAGGGACTTCCGCTTGGAGGAGGAGTGGGACGAGCTGGCAGGTTTGGGTGATGGTGAGGCTGCTGTTGAATCCCAGAGGTGCTCAGCCACATACTGAGTGGTAAAAATACATTTCTGAGCACATGTCTTTAGAAAATGAGAGCGAGCTTCGTGTCTGCACCTGTGCCCTCCATAGCCAGGATGCTCTCAGCTCTCAGGCTGCTAAACAGTCTGCTTGGCCTGATGCTTGGGGGAATCCCAGGTGCTTTGTTAAATGGTTTGAATGTCTCACAGCCTCTGAATCAGCACCTTGAGGTGTCTTCAGAAGGCTTGTGATGGCTAGAAATGCCATTTTGGTTAGAGAGAAGGCTGCCTCTCATGGCTGTTACCTGGCATTTCCTCTCCTGTGGTGGTTTCTCCTCATCCCTGCTGGTCCAGTTCCAGCTCACGTCGTTTCGTTCTGTTGACTAAATCCCCTCATAGACGTTGCTCTGTTGCTGTGCCCAGCCTCTGTGTTACCTTCCTCATCTGCACGTGGGTTTGTAGGAGAATTGCCTCGCCCTTAGAAAGGAGAGTTCACGGCATGTTTTGGTGGACCCTGATTGAGTATCCCAGGTGGGGAGCTCAAAACCCTGTCCTGGGGGTGCCCTCCTGATCGTTCTCCTCATGCCGTCAGGTTCCAGAAGAGCAAGGCCTGCCCCGAAGGAGAGGAGTGTCGCTATGCCCACGGCCAGGACGAGCTGACGGAGTGGCTAGACCGGAGGGAGGTGCTGAAACAGAAACTGGCCAAAGCCCGCAAGGACATGCTGCTCTGCCCCAGGGATGACGACTTTGGGAAATACAACTTCCTATTGCGGGATGGCGTATAGTAAGGGGGGGAGCCTGTCAGCTGGAGAAACACGGGGCGGGTTTTCCGAGAGTGACAGTAGCAGGGAGAGCGAGATCTGTGTCTCGCAAAGAGAACTTTTTCTTTTCTTTCGTTTTAAGATTATGAGACGATGATTTATTAGTGGTGAATGAAATCGTGAATTTGATTCTCCTTGGCCAGCGAACGCCATGCTCACTGAGTTTGTGATCTGTCTTCTCTCTCTTCTTTCTCCCAAATTCTCCTTCCTCTCCATCTTTTTGTTTTCGCTGTCCTTCATTCAAAGGAATGAATCCAGTCTGTACTGGGCTGCGAATTGGAGAATTTCTCCTTATGTCATTTTCCTGCCTTTCAATTCAGAGTGTAGCTGCAGAGGTCCGGAGGACAAAGCTGAGAGAAAAGGACAGACATCTGGTGAAAAGGTGACCATGAAGTTCATGTGCTCCTTTTCTCAGTGCTGCAGAGCAAGCCCCACTTACGCAGCTGGCCTGCTCTCCTGGGAGTTCAGTACCAGAAGAATTAGGAATTGAGGTGCAAAAGAAGGAAAACCACTAGATCTGGCTTAAAACATGTAGGCTTAAGCTCCTGCTGTCTATATTGCCCTGAGGCACCAACTGGCGCTGAGGAGGGTAACAGCTGTCTGGTATAAAGAGTGTAGCTAAAAGCAGCAAAGTAATAAAACTGCTTGCAGCAGCAGGATTGCAGGTGACTGCAGACTGTTTCAGCTGACTGTACCCAGAAAGCAAATTGGTGACTCCTCATTAGATGTCTTTCTCAGTGTGCGACAGGTATTCAGGGTGGGTAGTTTTGGTTTGGTTTTTTGGCTGGTGTGACTGGTGCAAGAAGGTGTAGTGGAGACTGTGACACACCCTATGTCACTGTAGTCCACGCGGCAGTATCAGTCAGGAAGAAGGCTGTAGCTAAACAGAGCCTGTGTTTCTGCATTGCCTTGTGTCCTGAAGAGAGGGAGGGAGGTAATGGGGTTCCTTTCTTGCTCTTTAAATGGTGTGTGTTACTGGTTATTTAGAGCTGCGTTTTTCCCTGCACTGCCAGAAGAACTGGGTGGGGACCCATTTAAAAGTACACTATCGAGCAGCATGGGCGATGCTTTGCTGATGGGAATCCAGCTGGAAGGGCACTTACCAGCACCGGAGGTCCAGCTCCCTCCTCCTTGGAGCCGGGGCAGGGAGCTTGCAGATGCACAGTGCAGCCAGGATGCGACCCAGGACAGGGACGGTGGTGGAGGGTGAGTGGCAGAGTGGGACCCAGCTGTGTGCCTGCTCCTGTCCTGCCTGATGGGCGCCATGATGGGGGAACCAGTGATGCTGAGCTCTGGGATAGGATTTTTGGCTTTTATAGTGGCAGCAGTGTGAGGCAGTACTGCTCTGTATGCCAGCCTTGTCCCTTCTGGCAGTCTCATCCTGTAAGCAGTAAACGTGCATCCTGTCCTGATCTTCCCTCTCCTCTCTTCTGCAGTCCAGCTGCGCTCTGCAGGTTTGCATGCATGGATGGCACCATCCACTCAAACACAAACATGTCTCCCTCCCAGCCTTCGTGGGGGTTGTTTTCTTTCATAGAGTCTCCCAGGACAGCAAGCTCAGAGCCCTTGGGGCTGGCAGTGCTGTATCCGTGGTAAATACAATCTGGCCGTGAACTGCTTGGTGCTTTGGCATTGGTGAGTCCTCCTATTCCCTCCCTGCTCCGATATCCTTGGGGTTCCCAGCTTCAAGAGAGATGGGATGTGGAAATACAGGAGATGTGGAAATGCAGGAGATGCTGGGGGGAGCAGCTGGCACCTTTCTGAACCAACCTCCAGGTAGGTGCATCAGCTCCACCGGGGTAGTTAGAGCCCAGGAGCAGCATGCGCTGCATGCTGGTCTTGGGTCTTTCCAGCGATATTACGTGCTCCAAGTAAGCTGAATGTGCCTCTGAGCTTGGTTCCCCTCCTTTAAAACGTGGATGGTGGTCACTGGTTTGGTATGAGCTTCCCTTCTCGGCTGTACCGCGCCTTGAGATCTGGCCTGGAAGGGGCCAGGACTGTAACATCTGATGATACACAGATGGCTTATGAGAGATCTGGGAGAACTGGGGAGGGAAGTGGTTGTTTCTACCTGTGGCCACGTATGGGGAGGAGGACGAGGTGAGGAAGGATCCATAGTGCTGTGAGGAAAGAGAGTGACCAACGCAGTATCAGACATGGCAGTTTTGGAGTGGTCAGGTGCTGTATCTTCTCCTCTGCCCTTCGCTGTAGCTGCCTGGATTGTACCTTCTCCTGGTGCTCCTTGTGCTCAGGTGGTCAACTTTATGAACAGAGAGAGACAGGAGAGGCGGTAGGCATCAACTCCCGGGTTATCTCGTGCTGCTCTTCTTGGGCAGAGACGCCAAGGAAGCGAATCTGGATCGGGGAATGTTGGAATGTGTTTTTTATTTTTAAAACAAATCTGCATCTCTAGTGTGACTCTAGCGTTCGCTGCGCTGTGATTTCTCATACGATAACTTGTTTAGGTTACAGAGTGGGTCGCTGTCCTCTCTCCCTGTCTCTGCAATGAGAGCCGAGCTGCTCAGCGGGGCTTCGGAGGGGCGGAGCGGGGCGGAGGCGGGGAGAGGGCGAGCGTGCGTGAGGTGAGGGAGGCCCACGGTCACGGGGGTTGCGTCGAGTATCTCTTTTTGTTTTCCCTGATATGATAACCTGGTCTGTGGTGTTGCAGTACTTTGTCACCAGACTTGTTTTAGTGTGTATATATGTGACCCCTCCCATGAAGCATATATACACAGGTATTAAATATATCGCTCTATATAATATTATATGTGTGTGGTATCGAAGGAATCTTTTAAATGAGGGTAAAGGAAAAGGACTCGGGCCAGGAAACGCAGCATCTCCAGTTTAAATATGAAGACTTTTATTTGGGTTAGGGAAAGGGAAATAACAGAGAGGGGAGGGTTTTATATAGATAGGTATAAATTTTGAGATGGGACAGGTTTCCCTGTTCACATTTTTGAAACCCCCTAGGATGTCTTTGCAGTCCCATCTCAGTGAGAGAGTATTATACTGCTAACTAGTGAGTAAAGTTTTAATGATAAGGCTTTGCTTGTATTATTTAAAGTGAAAGGCAGGAAACTTCACACTTCACTTCCCAGGCTTGCTTTATCAAGCCAAGAGGGTTTTCTTCAGCACGTTATATAGTCGCAGCAGAACCGCTCAGTGCTCGCAACTCTACAACAGATAAACCACAAGTTGTGGGGCTGCTTTAGTGGTGCATTCACAAGACCCTGTGATAACTCTCTCTTTTCTTCATTCGTGTGAGGGAAAAAGAAAATTTTACAGCGCAGAACCAAATCCGAGGGTTATTAACAAAAGAAGTGATGTTTTAATTTTATAACATTAGAAGAAAATCTCATATACTGTAAAATAACTACAGGCGCACACACTCACACAGAGTAGAGACTTTGATTGAGATCAACTTGTTAAATGCTGAAGGACTTAGTGAAAATCTTTTCCCAAATCCTTTGGTAGGGGCAGGGATTTAAGTGACGCTGGTGTTGGAGTTAACCTGGCCTTTACAGGGGGAAGTAAAAAACCAAAAAATACCCTGCTTGGCTTGTATGAAACTGTATGTCAAAAATGGATGGGTTTTAGCAAGTGAAAGGAAAAGATAGCAAGGGGATGCTGCAGTTCTGAGCTAGGTAGTAATGATTTCGAGTCCTTTAATATGTCTTTGTATTAATATAATTTAAGAATACCACGCTTTAATATTAAAAAAGAACTTAGTATCTTTCATAAGGTCTAGTATCAGGATAATAATGTAGATGTTTTAACAACATTTTTGTTTTTGTTCTTAAATAAAAAAAACCCAAACTTGCTTCTTTTAGCCTTTGTAATAGAAAATAAAAGTGTGCACTTTAAACCCTCTCCGGATCCAGTGTGTGTTTGCATTTTTCAAATAGCCCGCAGAGGCTTTTTATCTTGGTTTCAGGTTTCTGTACTGTAAGAAGGGAAGCAAAGGGAGGACTGCAAGCATTGGATCGCTTTTGCTTTCTCCCATCCTTACGTATAATCCACTGCTTTTGTAGAGTGGAAAATTGCCTATGTGTATATTAACAGATTCTGCAGTTCTTCATCAGAACGCATAGTTCTGGTGAACTTTAAGATTATTTTTTTTCTTTCCTCCAAGCACCAAGAATCTACACGCTCTGCATTAACACATAGTTTCAGGTGTTTGGGTAACCTGTGTTTTGAAACCTCCAGTAACCGGGTCTTGTAATCACCTTCATCTAGAGGTCGTTCTGCTGTGTAAGCTGCTCTGTTCAACTGGGTCAGTTCTTTTTCCTGCCAGTGTGCACCCTGCCAGGGGAAATGCCCTTAGCCCTACCCACCGAGTCACGTGCAGCTTGGGCCATGAGAAGCGCCTGTGCAGATTCCCCCTGACAAGGATGCTGTGTGGTGAAGATCGCACCTGGGGGAAGAGGTCAGCGTGAAAACATTTATTCATAAAACTGTTTTCTTTATTTTTCAAATCCATCGTGATGCAGATTAATCTGGATTCTTGACGAAGCCAAAACTGGAGATGTGGCAAAGACAAGGGAGTCCCACGGAGACACCCTGCTACTGCTGTTTAAACTGGTAGAGTGACTAGAAGGTCATATCCAGTGAGACCTGAGGAGAGGGGACTTGTTACGCATCTCCCCGATGTGCCTGGATACAGACACCAGGACTCATGTCCTTCTGGTCATAGGAGGGGAGGTCTGAATAGAAGCTTGTAGTGCAGAGGGAATGAGGAGACCGGTGCACTTTTAAGGTGCATCTATTGAGTACATACAACGTGAGAGGCATTAGTTTTACCCTCCAAAGATTATTGAGACCATGCTGGCAAGAGTGAGGGTAGCATTTGCAGTACAATGGGGCCAAAACTGTCAAATTGTGAGGCAGACAAAGCATGAGGAGAAAAATGACTCTGTTTTCCTTGCAGGTTTGAGCCTCAGCTATAAACTCCTCCTCACCAGTGT